TTCAAGCTTCATTGTAATTTTTTAAAAAATTTGAATTTCAAATCTATCCTTTAGAGTCTTATCCCTTTTGACATAATTCTGTTCTAAATTTTCAGAAAAAAGAAATATTACAATCATTTGTTGTTAATTATTTTGAAATCCTTTTTCATTTTTGCTTAAAATTTTGCAAAATTTTTGAATTTTCAAGCTTCTTGTCCAAGAACAACTGGAAAATGATCATGGCGGTCCTTCAAATGAAGATATTACCATTGAATATGCAAACTGTCGATCATGCAGAAGTTCAGATAATCAACATTTACTGCTACTCTGCGACGGAAACATTGGTCAAAATGCTGATGGTTCTACGATTCGCTGTAATGTTGCATATCATTGCTACTGCTTACCGGAGAAACTGGAGCGAATCCCGGAAAATGACTGGTTTTGTCCATTCTGCAAAAACAAACCAGAAAATGCACAGCATTTTGTAGAACAAACAAATTTAAATGTTTCACGTTCAGAAGAAGCTGGTAGTAGTAGTTCAAAACAATTAAAGAATGAGACTGATGTATCGAAATGTCATCTAAGCGGATGTTTGGAGCAAGGTAATACGAAAATAGAAACTGGATGCAGCAAAATTAGAAATTTCGAATTAGCGCTTATTCAAGACGCTTATGGTGATTCGGATACGGAAAGTGAATCAAGAGACTATAGTAATGAAAAGAGTGAATTATATTCAACAAGTGATGCAACTAGTGATAATTATGATGATAGCAACGAAATAACAGTCGAAAATACTAGCGGCAAGTTATCATATAGACGAAAATTAACAAACTATAATATTTTGATAATAAGATTACAACTCTTAAAAAATTAGAAATTTTAATACAGAAATAAGAATTACAAATCATTCTACGTGATATTTTACGTTTGCGTGCTATACGTAGATGAAATATACATCGATGCGAACGTACAAATATACGAAATTAATATTTCTTCATTAAAAAACAGACAAGAAATTATAACTAAAGCTAGAATAGGAACAAAAATATCGAATTTACTTATACATCATTAATATATAGGGACAAATTATGATGTATTGGACGACGACGACGATGACGATGACAGTGATGATGGTGAGGATGATGATGATTGGAACGAATCGGATGAAACAGATTCTGAGCAAAAATTCCACCAAGCAATATTTCGCGATAATTACAGACGAAGAAGAGGAATGAAGCGTAATCAAAGAATTACATACCGCCGATAAAGTTCCAGAATTGATGACAAAGATTGTTTACTGTTTGAAGCTTATATTTATTGTGAAAGTAAAAATTAGTATCACAAAATCATTTGTTTTTTTGTAGCAGCAATTAATTTCCAATCGGTCATGCAAAAAAAATAGCAGGTGGTTAGCTTTCTTTGCTGCATGCTTTTTTGCTAACTACGCGCAACTGCATGCTTTTTTTATTGAGCATATTTATTGTACATTTTGATATAAAACTCATTGTTAACTATTAATTTTATTTGAATGATATTATTTTGTTTATTGTCTGCTTTTTTTCATCTTTTTTTTTAAAGTTAATTCTATTTGCTTTAGTAATTTATTGCTATAATTATTGCTTGTGTTGAAAGAAATTTTTTAGTTCATAAATTTTCATTGAAATTATGTCCTTTCATCTTTTTTAAAATGCCTCTCAACACAATAAATTTTCCCATTTTTTTAAATACAATTTTTGCATAAATACATTTTTTGCATTTGCAAATTTTTCAAAAATTTTCTTCACTATAAATAATCATTTTATTATTGTATCAGTTAGTGTTAGCATAGGATCAGTTAGTGAAGAGTTCGCATAACCACTGGAAGTGTTATTCCAACAAGACTTTTTAAAAAAGAAAAAAATGGAATCAAATTGTGCCATATGTTTGGATCAATTAAAATATCCGCTTGGAAGACCTGATAATTGTATGCACAAATTCTGTTTTAAATGTATTCGCGATTGGTTAAAAAAGCGATCACAATGCCCACTTTGTGATGGAGAGCCAAAATATCTAATTAAAATTGAAGAAACAAAAAATGAAACAAAAATGCCAGTAAAAAAAAGAACAAAGGAACAATTTGAAAATGAGGTTATCACTGTTACTAATATTATCAATGTTATCATTAATATATCATCACTATGAAATATTTTAATTTGATTGTCTATATCATTAATTTTTTTTAATTTATTTAACATGATGATTGTTATTATTATAGTGAAAATGGTACTTTGTTTGATTAATTAAATATTTTAAACAATTTTTCCGGACACGGTCATGAAAATATTCCAGTTTACCTTTCTTTATGTAAAGATTCTAGTCTAGGACCATATATGAAATTTTTAACCTAGAATTTACCAAAGCAGTTAAAATTAAGCATTTAAATCAGAAGAAATTTGATTAAATTGGAGGAAAGGTCATAATGTTATTCTGTATAAACAGAAGTCTTTCAAGCTTCATTGTAATTTTTAAAAATTTGAATTTCAAATCTATCCTTTAGAGTCTTATCCCTTTTGACATAATTCTGTTCTAAATTTTCAGAAAAGAAATATTACAATCATTTGTTGTTAATTATTTTGAAATCCTTTTTCATTTTTGCTTAAAATTTTGCAAAATTTTTGAATTTTCAAGCTTCTTGTCCAAGAACAACTGGAAAATGATCATGGCGGTCCTTCAAATGAAGATATTACCATTGAATATGCAAACTGTCGATCATGCAGAAGTTCAGATAATCAACATTTACTGCTACTCTGCGACGGAAACATTGGTCAAAATGCTGATGGTTCTACGATTCGCTGTAATGTTGCATATCATTGCTACTGCTTACCGGAGAAACTGGAGCGAATCCCGGAAAATGACTGGTTTTGTCCATTCTGCAAAAACAAACCAGAAAATGCACAGCATTTTGTAGAACAAACAAATTTAAATGTTTCACGTTCAGAAGAAGCTGGTAGTAGTAGTTCAAAACAATTAAAGAATGAGACTGATGTATCGAAATGTCATCTAAGCGGATGTTTGGAGCAAGGTAATACGAAAATAGAAACTGGATGCAGCAAAATTAGAAATTTCGAATTAGCGCTTATTCAAGACGCTTATGGTGATTCGGATACGGAAAGTGAATCAAGAGACTATAGTAATGAAAAGAGTGAATTATATTCAACAAGTGATGCAACTAGTGATAATTATGATGATAGCAACGAAATAACAGTCGAAAATACTAGCGGCAAGTTATCATATAGACGAAAATTAACAAACTATAATATTTTGATAATAAGATTACAACTCTTAAAAAATTAGAAATTTTAATACAGAAATAAGAATTACAAATCATTCTACGTGATATTTTACGTTTGCGTGCTATACGTAGATGAAATATACATCGATGCGAACGTACAAATATACGAAATTAATATTTCTTCATTAAAAAACAGACAAGAAATTATAACTAAAGCTAGAATAGGAACAAAAATATCGAATTTACTTATACATCATTAATATATAGGGACAAATTATGATGTATTGGACGACGACGACGATGACGATGACAGTGATGATGGTGAGGATGATGATGATGAGGATGATGATGATTGGAACGAATCGGATGAAACAGATTCTGAGCAAAAATTCCACCAAGCAATATTTCGCGATAATTACAGACGAAGAAGAGGAATGAAGCGTAATCAAAGAATTACATACCGCCGATAAAGTTCCAGAATTGATGACAAAGATTGTTTACTGTTTGAAGCTTATATTTATTGTGAAAGTAAAAATTAGTATCACAAAATCATTTGTTTTTTGTAGCAGCAATTAATTTCCAATCGGTCATGCAAAAAAAATAGCAGGTGGTTAGCTTTCTTTGCTGCATGCTTTTTTTGCTAACTACGCGCAACTGCATGCTTTTTTTTATTGAGCATATTTATTGTACATTTTGATATAAAACTCATTGTTAACTATTAATTTTATTTGAATGATATTATTTTGTTTATTGTCTGCTTTTTTTTTCATCTTTTTTTTTTAAAGTTAATTCTATTTGCTTTAGTAATTTATTGCTATAATTATTGCTTGTGTTGAAAGAAATTTTTTTAGTTCATAAATTTTCATTGAAATTATGTCCTTTCATCTTTTTTAAAATGCCTCTCAACACAATAAATTTTCCCATTTTTTAAATACAATTTTTGCATAAATACATTTTTGCATTTGCAAATTTTTCAAAAATTTTCTTCACTATAAATAATCATTTTATTATTGTATCAGTTAGTGTTAGCATAGGATCAGTTAGTGAAGAGTTCGCATAACCACTGGAAGTGTTATTCCAACAAGACTTTTTTAAAAAAAAAAAAATGGAATCAAATTGTGCCATATGTTTGGATCAATTAAAATATCCGCTTGGAAGACCTGATAATTGTATGCACAAATTCTGTTTTAAATGTATTCGCGATTGGTTAAAAAGCGATCACAATGCCCACTTTGTGATGGAGAGCCAAAATATCTAATTAAAATTGAAGAAACAAAAAATGAAACAAAAATGCCAGTAAAAAAGAACAAAGGAACAATTTGAAAATGAGGTTATCACTGTTACTAATATTATCAATGTTATCATTAATATATCATCACTATGAAATATTTTAATTTGATTGTCTATATCATTAATTTTTTTTAATTTATTTAACATGATGATTGTTATTATTATAGTGAAAATGGTACTTTGTTTGATTAATTAAATATTTTAAACAATTTTTCCGGACACGGTCATGAAAATATTCCAGTTTACCTTTCTTTATGTAAAGATTCTAGTCTAGGACCATATATGAAATTTTTAACCTAGAATTTACCAAAGCAGTTAAAATTAAGCATTTAAATCAGAAGAAATTTGATTAAATTGGAGGAAAGGTCATAATGTTATTCTGTATAAAAATCATACATCCATGAATTGTAATTAACGCTCTCAGCATTATACATCCATGAATTGTGAGAACGTCTGAGTATCATGCATCTATGAATTGTATTAACGGTCTGAGTATCATACATCTATGAATTGTATTAACGGTCTGAAAATCATGCATCCATGAATTGTAATTAACGCTCTCAGCATTATACATCCATGAATTGTAATTAACGCTCTCAGCATTATACATCCATGAATTGTAATTAACGCTCTCAGCATTATACATCCATGAATTGTAATTAACGCTCTCAGCATTACACATCCATGAATTGCGATAACATTCTGAGTAACACACATCCATGTATTGTGTTAAAGGTCTGAGAATCATACATCCATGAATTGTATTAACGGTCTGAAAACCATACATCCATGAATCGTAATTAACGCTCTCAGCATTATACATCCATGAATTGCGATAACGGTCTGAGTAACACACAACCATGAATTGTGTTAACTGTCTGAGTATCATACATCTATGAATTGTATTAACGGTCTGAGTATCATACATCTATGAATTATATTAACGGTCTGAAAATCATGCATCCATGAATTGTAATTAACGCTCTCAGCATTATACATCCATGAATTGTATTAACGGTCTGAGAATCATACATCCATGAATTGTAATTAACGCTCTCAGCATTATACATCCACGAATTGCGATAACGGTCTGAGTATCATACATCTATGAATTGTATTAACGGTCTGAAAATCATACATCCATGAATTGTAATTAACGCTCTCAGCATTATACATCTATGAATTGTGATTAACGCTCTCAGCATTACACATCCATGAATTGTGTTAACTGTCTGAGTATCATACATCTATGAATTGTGTTAACGGTCTGAGTAACACACATCCATGAATTGTGTTAACGGTCTGAGTGTCATACATCTATGAATTGTATTAACGGTCTGAGAATCATACATCCATGAATTGTAATTAACGCTCTCAGCATTATACATCCATGAATTGTGAGAACGTCTGAGTATCATACATCCATTAATTGTGATTAACGCTATCAGCATTATACATCCATGAATTGTAATTAACGCTCTCAGCATTATACATCCATGAATTGTAATTAACGCTCCCAGCATTATTCATCCATGAATTGTAATTAACGCTCTCAGCATTACACATCCATGAATAGCGATAACGGTCTGAGTAACACACATCCATGAATTGTGTTAACGGTCTGAGTAACACACATCCATGAATTGTGTTAACGGTCTGAGTGTCATACATCTATGAATTGTATTAACGGTCTGAGAATCATACATCCATGAATTGTAATTAACGCTCTCAGCATTATACATCCATGAATTGTGAGAACGTCTGAGTATCATACATCCATTAATTGTGATTAACGCTATCAGCATTATACATCCATGAATTGCGATAACGGTCTGAGTAACACACATCCATGAATTGTGTTAACTGTCTGAGTATCATGCATCTATGAATTGTTTTAACGGTCTGAGTATCATACATCTATGAATTGTATTAACTGTCGTGAAAGGTTGTCTGTTGGTTGATATTGGAATCGTTTGCAATACAGTAGAAGGATTAAATTAATAAGTCTTTATTTTTCGCAAACTTAGTATTAATAAACAGAGCAGTAAAAGAAGAGAAGAAATTTATAATAAAGAAGATTGGAAGAGTTGATCTTGGTTAAACGAGCGTAGTCGACAATGATGATAATTTATAGTTTTGTTTATTAGAATTGAATTTATATGAGTGAGAATTGGGTGTGTCTAAGATTGGAGGGACTGATATTGGTTAAACGAGCATAGTCGACAATGATGATAATTAATGGTTTTGTTTATTAGGATTGAATTTATATGAGTGAGGATTGGGTGTGTCTAAGATAAAATCACATGTGTAAAGAATTTAAAGTGTTTACTACGAAGAGATTAAAAATACATGTGTGAATACTGTAGGATTGTTTACAATTTAAAAAGAGAGATGATTTATGATACTATGAAATTGGTTAGAAGTTTTCGCGAAATTATAATTCGCGACACTCCCGAAGGGGGAGAGAAATTGTTTTAAGATGTAATTTTGAGAGAGTGATTTTGAGGTATATAGCTAAATGTACGGAGTTTGATAGGTGGGATTTCTTCTTTAGTTATGAATTGAGTGTGTGGTGATTCTGTAGGGAGAGTAATAATGGTAGCTTGATTTGAATTTCGTTTTGAAGTATTACAAAGGAGGGATTGAACTAATTTAAATTTACACTTAATAATAACTAAAATAGTTAATATTGTCACGATAATTATACAGATAAAAATCAATTTCCAATGTGTTATCACGTTTTCAAATTCTTCTTCTATCGGTAGAACAATTTCATTGAATTCCTTTTCCATTTGTTTGATAATTTCTTCTCCTTCTTCAGAGATTTCTTGCCAAAAGAGTTCATCTTTCATTTGATGTGGTATTGAATTAATTGTTCTTTGAGTTTGAGTTAGGATTTCCAATTCTGCATTAATTCTCTCAATTTCAAACTTACTTATTAAATCTCCTTTGAATTCGATATTTTCAATTGTTGATTGTTCTGATTTGCAAGGAGCCACCATCAAATTTCCGTTAATTCTTTTAGCTATCACATCGTTTCTTTGAAGTATTAGTTTCGTGGCAAGAGTAGGATTGCTGATTGATAGCCATTTGATCAAAAGTAATAAGTTATTTCTGTTTTGGCAACTTCTCTGCTGTGTTTCTTTGAGTTGTTGAAGGAATTCTTGTCTTAGTGAATCAGAAAGGTATTGAAGTTTTACGTTTTCAGGATCGTACTTTCTATCCGGAGACTTTTCCATCATCAATAGTTTGTTTGTTACTCTTCGTTTGAATTTTGTAGTAGAGTTCGAGTCATTTTCAACGTCTAGTTCAATAACTATATCGCCCTGCATTAAAATTGGAGAAGTGAATCTACAATTTTTGGTGTTTAATATAGGGGGATTTTTATCAATTATAAGCGATGCTTGTATCTCATCGATGATGAAGTGGTTGTTATACTTTGTAGCCTTGAATCTTCCGATCTTTCGATATAAACAATGATTGGTCGTATCATTGCTATTCCATATGATAATGCTAGTATTCGTTATGCATTCACCCTTTTGTGTCGAACAGTCTTTTATATCTTCAAGGTTAGAGACTAACCCTCTTCCATCGTAGATGAGAATTTCTCCTTGAGTTAATATGAAGTTTGAAGTTGATTGACAGTTAATTCCTAACCATCCATAGGAGTATTGTATTTCCTTATTCGTTATCCATTGATTAGGAGAAGATTGAATTAGTCCAATTCCGTTCATTTGTTTTCGAACATTTAAATATCTGCAGAATTGTGAGGAAGTTGCGGTAGTAGACGTATGGTCTGATACTACCAATAGCGATATTCTGAGAAAAGCTTTTGTGCATACAGTCCGTGTAATGTTGCTACATTTTATAGCTGGTATTCTTACATGGGTGCGTGTGTACACATCCACTTTGTGATATGTAGCATTTTTGTGAATAATTTCTTCACAATTCCATTTTTCAGGAATATTAAAGGATACTCCAGTAATCCAATTACAGCTATTGTTAGCTAACACCTGTCTTGGTATTAATGACATCATCGTTATTAATGATAAAGTTTTTATCAAAAGATTAGACTTGTCTTTTGCATAGATTGTAGTTTGTGATTTTTTAGCACTTCTGGTTCATCGAGCAATAGGTTCTTCTGGTTCATCTTCCACCTTTTCTTCTCTATCTTCTTCAGTAGCACCTATTTCCATAAGATAAAGTATATTGATTGATTGATCAATTTGTTTTCCATTCGGTAATTGTATTGTCGCACTCCTTATTTTTCCATCCCATCCTCGACTAATTTTTATTATCCTTGCCAATTTCCATACACCACGAGGTATTTCTGGTTCATTTAGTAATACTATCTCATTTTCATGTGGTACTCTTTTTTCTATTATTCTAGGTGATTTTAATTCTCTTTGTGTGCGTTCTTTAAGACTTGTAAGATATTCTTCTTTCCACAACTTCCAAAAGACATCTAATGTGTTAAGAGTGGTAGTCCAATACTTGACTAATTTATCTTTAGTCTTTATTGTATAATTTATCTTTACTCTTTTGTGTATATTCATCTTGGTCACTATCATAATTTATTGGTAGATCTAATGAAGCCATAGGTGATATAAAATCAATTGGACGAATGATTCTGTAGTCGTCAAACCCTACATAAGTTAATGGACGGGTATTAAGGATTCCTTCTATTTCAATTATTAATGTTATTAATTCTCCTTCCTTTAGAAGTTTTCTTCCTATTGCTCTTCTTAATGCCCTTTTTGTGAGTCCTATAAGTCTTTCATATACACCACCCCCCCATGGTGCTCTTGGTATAGTATTTTTCCATATCATACCCTTTGTAGCCAAAAAGTTAGCGTTTTCTTCCATAATGATTTTGAATACCAGTTGAAATTGGCTTGCATTATCGCTTAATATTAATTTTGGATATGCACGTCGAGCGATAAATCTTCTTAAAACATGTGAAAAATTCTCGGCAGATAAATTCTCTGCCATTTCAAGATGAACTGCTCTGGTAGTGAAGCACGTAAAAAGTGCTATCCATCTTTTGACTAGACCAGTATTAGATTTGACTGAAAGAGGACCCATATAATCAAGGCCGACTTGTTCGAAGGTCCTGGATCTTTTTACTCGTGTTTCTGGTAAACTTGGCATCGCTGGCAGTTTAAACGGTTTAGCTTTCCAGCGAATGCAATAACAGCATAGGTTTATAATTCGTTTTACAGCAGCTCTTCCTCTCGGTATCCAATATTTTCGTCTTAATTCAGATAACGTATGTGCAATACCTGCGTGATATAATTCATTATGCTTGTGTAGAATAATAAGATCAGTAGTGTAATTATGATCCGGTAAATATATAGGATATTTGCTTTCGTCCGTTAATTCTGAATTTTCCAGTCGGCTCCTTAATTTCCATAAGTTATCACTTTCATCTAGATATAGATTCCATTTTTCCTTTTCGTCCTCCGTTAGCAATCGTGATTGGGCCTGTCTGATCAGCATAGTCTCTGCTATATCGTAATCAACTTTAGTCATATATTTCTTTTTACGGATAATGGTTCTAGCCACACTAATTTCTTTTTACAGGTTTGTTTAATAAATCTAAAAGTCCAAACAGTTACTCGAACTAGTTTTGTCCAACTGCTGAAGCGACATACGTCAATAAATTCAATTATATTCCTATTAAAGGTTTGAGTCATCTTTGTTAAATTCAAAGCAATTGCTTCTGCAAATTCATCGTTTCCTGAATAACGAAGTTTGCACTTTGGCCATTCAGATTTCTTGAGTTCCAACCATCGAGGTCCTTTCCACCATTGTTTACAATTTTGGAGTTTAAGTGGTGATACTCCTTTGGTGGCTATATCTGCTGGATTTTGATCACTTGGTATGTAATTTAATTCGAAGTTAGATTTCCTTATTTCTTCGATACGATTTTGTATAAATCTGGGAAGCAGCTTTGTATAATTCTGTATCCAGTAAAGAACACATTTTGAATCCGTCCACAAAGTAACTTGATTATTTTCAAGATTTAATTGTTTCAATACGAACTGAGCTGCTCTTACTCCAATTAGTACAGATAATAATTCAAGTCTAGGAATTGACATACCTTTAATTGGAGCAATTCGAGATTTAGCATAAATCAAAAATGAATTCGAATATGTGTTTTGATATCCATAATTGAGAACATAAATAGCTGCAGAATAGGCAATTTTCGAAGCGTCAATAAATATATGGAATTCTGTTAATTGTGAAGTTTCCGTTATAAATCTTGGCAGCTCTATTATATTTGTTGGCCATTCTTTGATGAGATTTATCCACTGTTGTTCATCTTGTTTGTTTAAAGATTGATCCCATGGAATGTTTTCTTTCCATAAGTGTTGTATGAATAATTTAAATTTGATCATTATAGGAACGAGAAGACCCAATGGATCGTATTGAGAGGCTATGAATTGTAGGATAGTCCTCTTTGTTAAACTTTTTCCTATCCATGGTTTCAGTGTCACACGGATAATATCTCGTTCATGGTTCCATTTAAGACCAAGAAAATTTTCCTGATTTGTTTGGCTTAGGTCGCATTCAGCTATTCTTTCATTAAATTCTTCGTCATTTGAAAGAAATTCTCTTATGTTCATAGATGCTTCAGCAAAAATTTCTTTCGTTCTTTCATATTTATATAAGGCCTCTTCTGTTCCATTTGCTGATATAATAACGTTGTCTACATATAAGTTCTTTCTTATCTCCCATGCCAATTCACTACCATGATTTTCTAGGTGGTAATTTAATGTTGCTGCTAACAAGAAAGGTGAGGATATTATTCCAAAAGGAACTCTCTTAAATCGGTAACATTTTATATTTTCATTGGTTAGTTCTTTATCAATATCATCCAACCAAAGAAAACGTGTACAATTTCTTTCCTCATTTTGTAGTTCTAGTTGTAAAAATGCCTTTTCGATATCAGCGGTTATTACTATTTTCATCATCCGAAAACGTAATATTACTCCAACTAAATCCGGTAACATTACTGGACCTCGATATAGTACTTCATTTAAACTTTTAAAACCTTTGTGATGTGCTGAAGCATCATATACTATTCTTAATTTAGTTGTTGATTTACTGGGAGTTAATACTTCATGATGTGGTAAGTAATGAATAACGCCTACCTCATCCTTTGGAGGTACTTCTTCAATTATACCTGAGTGTAGTTGATCCATAAATATTTGATGATATGAATGGAGATTTGAATTATGTTGTAGGCGGTTGATCAAATTCTTCAATCGTCCCAGACATAATCCATAATTATTGCTTAATTTTTGTTTGGAGTCTTTCCATGGCCAACAAACCTGATATCTTCCACCCTGCTTGATGATGGTCCGTTTGAAATGCTTTAAAGCTTGATCATCATCATCATCTTGAGGTGATTCTTGGATACCAATCATCTCTAATTTCCAAAATTTTTCTAGCTCCGTGCTAATATTGACGTTTGTAGAATATACTACTTCTTTAGGATATAATTCGTTCTTGCAAAGTTTCTTAATATCTCCACTTCCAGCAATCATTGGACCAACTTTTGATTGAACCAACATATGTCCTGATTTCAATTCCTAATTTCTCGTAGGTTAATAAATTTGAAAAAATAGTCAGCTCCAATCAATACGTCAGGTTTTTCCAATAATTTGTCAAATTTTGAATTTGAAATTCATTCGATGTCTCCACTACCTGCAGTTCGTTTGTTAGATAATCAATTATATTTGCTTGTAGTTGTATGATTTCGCTTTCGGTAGTTAGCACATTTAGTTGTATGCGAGCAGTGGGACATGATTTCGGTTCTTTCATACCAAATGGAGCTATTCTCATAATTTGAGTTTCTGTTTCGGTTAACTTTAATTGACGTGATAATTTTTTGGAGATGAAGGAGAGTTGCGATCCAATATCAAATAATGCAAGGGTATTTTGTTGTAGTTGAGGTTGTGATGGATTAAAAACCTTTATCTCCTTACATAAAAGTAAGGTTTCCTTTGTCTGTTTGGATTGAGTTGTTAATGTGAAGTTATAGAGAGAAGTTGAACAATCCTTTCGTTTCGAAGGTCCAATTCTTTCATGCTCTTCATTTCTTTGAGACATTGTATTGTTTAAAGAAAGTGAATTCCTTTTATTACATAAAGCACTATTATGTGAGCTTTTGCAATAAAAATATTGTTTTTTGACATTACAATTCTGTCCTTTGTGACTGTCTCTAAGACAAATAGTACATTTCTTCAATACTTTGAGACGAATAAGTCGAGCATTGAGAGTCGTGTAGTTCATGCAATCGCTGTCCCAATGATCTTGATTGCAAAATACACATGGTCGTCTTTTCGTTGTTGTAGTTTTTGAAGTATTTTGATTATCCTTTATTGTCGACAGTGCTGAAGTTCCTCCGGGATTGTATCGTTGTTTTTGTTCCTGTTTGGTAGTTGTAGATTTAATATTGAGCTGTGTGAGTGAATGTTGACAGTTTCTAATCTGTTCATTTACATTAACTAAACTTGTTAAAAAGTTTCGTAGTTTGAGAATTGAACAAGGCATGTCCTTCTTCTTATGTTTATATATTTTATTTAATATCCATAATGGCAACTTGCTCTCGATCAAGATTTCAATATTTGAATGCTCAAGGCTTTCTCCTAGAGCTTCTAACTGGCGCAGTACTCGTTCTATATTTTCAATTGTTCCAATCCATTCTCTTTCATTTCGTTTAATTGATTGGAGTTCGTTGTATAGTAATGTTGTTACTATTGAGTGATCGCCATATTTTTCATTGAGCAGTTTTCTGATGACTTCATAATTCTCTGGAGCTATATCATATCCAGATATTGCTTGTAGAGCCTTTCCTTTAAGACATGAGTACAAGTAATACAATTTTTGTATTTCTGGAATCGCTTGTGTGTGGACTGCTGCGTTAAAACTGCTCCAAAATTGTCGCCATTGTCTAGGGTCTCCATCGAAAGTAGGGAGCGATAAATGAGGAAGATTTACATTAATATTTGAAGAAGGAGTAAATTTTGCTTCTTCTTTTGCTTGTTTGTTCGTCAACTCCTTTGAGAGTTGTTTTAAGTTTTGGTCGACTTCATCCTTGTGCATTGTCAGTGTTATTACAGCTTCCTTTCCTTCGTGTAATAATTGAAATATTCCTTGGTCACCTTCTGTTACTGTTTTGTATTTTTCTTCCTCTTCTTCTCTTCTTTTTATCGTGACGATTTGTTGAGTATATGTGAACCATTTATCGTTGATAGATTCAAGCGTAGTTACGCATAATTGGATTCTTCGAAGTTTATCTTCTAACACTCTTTTTCTTATCACATAAAAATCTTCTTTTTCTTCTATTGTCATACTTGGATCTGGAGATTTGATCTCCAGTTGATTTACTTCTTTAAGAAGACTGACTAACCTTTCCTTTGCCGGTTGAAAGCTTGCGATGATGTGGCTTGACATATTCCCGGCTCGTGGCACCAAAAAATTTTGTCGTGAAAGGTTGTCTGTTGGTTGATATTGGAATCGTTTGCAATACAGTAGAAGGAATAAATTAATAAGTCTTTATTTTTCGCAAACTTAGTATTAATAAACAGAGCAGTAAAAGAAGAGAAGAAATTTATAATAAAGAAGATTGGAAGAGTTGATCTTGGTTAAACGAGCGTAGTCGACAATGATGATAATTTATAGTTTTGTTTATTAGAATTGAATTTATATGAGTGAGAATTGGGTGTGTCTAAGATTGGAGGGACTGATATTGGTTAAACGAGCATAGTCGACAATGATGATAATTAATGGTTTTGTTTATTAGGATTGAATTTATATGAGTGAGGATTGGGTGTGTCTAAGATAAAATCACATGTGTAAAGAATTTAAAGTGTTTACTACGAAGAGATTAAAAATACATGTGTGAATACTGTAGGATTGTTTACAATTTAAAAAGAGAGATGATTTATGATACTATGAAATTGGTTAGAAGTTTTCGCGAAATTATAATTCGCGACATTAACGGTCTGAAAATCATACATCCATGAATTGTAATTAACGCTCTCAGCATTATACATCCATGAATTGTGAGAACGTCTGAGTATCATACATCCATTAATTGTGATTAACGCTATCAGCATTATACATCCATGAATTGCCATAACGGTCTGAGTAACACACATCCATGAATTGTGTTAACTGTCTGAGTATCATGCATCTATGAATTGTATTAACGGTCTGAGTATCATACATCTATGAATTGTAATTAACGCTCTCATCATTATACATCCATGAATTGTGAGAACGTCTGAGTATCATACATCCATTAATTGTGATTAACGCTATCAGCATTATACATCCATGAATTGCCATAACATTCTGAGTAACACACATCCATGTATTGTGTTAAAGGTCTGAGAATCATACATCCATGAATTGTATTAACGGTCTGAAAATCATACATCCATGAATTGTAATTAACGCTCTCAGCATTATACATCCATCAATTGCGATAACGGTCTGAGTAACACACAACCATGAATTGTGTTAACTGTCTGAGTATCATACATCTATGAATTGTATTAGCGGTCTGAGTATCATACATCTATGAATTGTATTAACTGTCTGAAAATCATACATCCATGAATTGTAATTAACGCTCTCAGCATTATACGTCCATGAATTGTGAGAACGTCTGAGTATCATACATCCATTAATTGTGATTAACGCTATCAGCATTATACATCCATGAATTGCGATAACGGTCTGAGTAACACACATCCATGAATTGTGTTAACTCTCTGAGTATCATGCATCTATGAATTGCATTAACGGTCTGAGTATCATACATCTATGAATTGTATTAACGGTCTGAAAATCATGCATCCATGAATTGTAATTAACGCTCTCAGCATTATACATCCACGAATTGCGATAACGGTCTGAGTATCATACATCTATGAATTGTATTAACGGTCTGAAAATCATACATCCATGAATTGTAATTAACGCTCTCAGCATTATACATCCATGAATTGCGATAACGGTCTGAGTAACACACATCCATGAATTGTGTTAACGATCTGAGTATCATACATCTACGAATTGTGATTAACGCTATCAGCATTATAGATCCATGGATTACGATAACGGTCTGAGCAACACACATCCATGAATTGTGTTAAAGGTCTGAGTATCATGCATCCATGAATTGTGAGAACGTCTGAGTATCATACATCCATTAATTGTGATTAATGCTCTCGGCATTATACATCCATGAATTGCGATAACGGTCTGAGTAACACACATCCATGAATTGTGTTAACGGTCTGAGAATCATACATCCATGAAATGTGTTAACGGTCTGAGTATCATACATCCATGAATTGTGTTAACGGCCTGAGAATCATACATCCATGAATTGTAAATAACGCTCTCAGCATTACACATCCATGAATTGTGTTAACTGTCTGAGTATCATACATCCATGAATTGTATTAACGGTCTGAAAATCATACATAAATGAACTGTAATTAACGCTCTCAGCATTATACATCCATGAATTGTGAGAACGTCTGAGTATCATACATCCATTAATTGTGATTAACGCTATCAGCATTATACATCCATGAATTGCGATAACGGTCTGAGTAACACACATCCATGAATTGTGTTAACTGTCTGAGTATCATCCATCTATGAATTGTATTAACGGTCTGAGTATCATACATCTATGAATTGTATTAACGGTCTGAAAATCATGCATCCATGAATTGTAATTAACGCTCTCAGCATTATACATCCATGAATTGTATTAACGGTCTGAGAATCATACATCCATGAATTGTAATTAACGCTCTCAGCATTATACATCCATGAATTGCGATAACGGTCTGAGTAACACACATCCATGAATTGTGTTAACGGTCTGAGAATCATACATCCATGAAATGTGTTAACGGTCTGAGAATCATACATCCATGAATTGTAATTAACGCTCTCAGCATTATAGATCCATGGATTACGATAACGATCTGAGCAACACACATCCATGAATTGTGTTAAAGGTCTGAGAATCATACATCCATGAATTGTATTAACGGTCTGAGAATCATACATCCATGAATTGTAATTAACGCTCTCAGCATTATACATCCATGAATTGCGATAGCGGTCTGGGTAACACACATCCATGAATTGTGTTAACGGTCTGAGTAACACACATCCATGAATTGTGTTAACTGTCTGAGTATCATGCATCTATGAATTGTATTAACGGTCTGAGTATCATGCATCTATGAATTGTATTAACGGTCTGAGTATCATACATCCATGAATTGTGAGAACGTCTGAGTATCATACATCCATTAATTGTGATTAATGCTCTCGGCATTATACATCCATGAATTGCGATAACGGTCTGAGTAACACACATCTATGAATTGTGTTAACTGTCTGAGTATCATACATCTATGAATTGTATTAACGGTCTGAGTGTCATACATCTATGAATTGTATTAACGGTCTGAGAATCATACATCCATGAATTGTAATTAACGCTCTCAGCATTATACATCCACGAATTGCGATAACGGTCTGAGTATCATACATCTATGAATTGTATTAACGGTCTGAAAATCATACATCCATGAATTGTAATTAACGCTCTCAGCATTATACATCCATGAATTGCGATAACGGTCTGAGTAACACACATCCATGAATTGTGTTAAAGGTCTGAGAATCATACATCCATGAATTGTGTTAACTGTCTGAGTATCATGCATCTATGAATTGTATTAACGGTCTGAGTATCATACATCTATGAATTGTATTAACGGTCTGAGTATCATACATCCATGAATTGTAATTAACGCTCTCAGCATTATACATCCATGAATTATGAGAACGTCTGAGTATCATACATCCATTAATTGTGATTAACGCTATCAGCATTATACATCCATGAATTGCGATAACGGTCTGAGTAACACGCATCCATGAATTGTGTTAACTGTCTGAGTATCATGCATCTATGAATTGTATTAACGGTCTGAGTATCATACATCTATGAATTGTATTAACGGTCTGAAAATCATACATCCATGAATTGTAATTAACGCTCTCAGCATTATAATCCATGAAATGTGAGAACGTCTGAGCATCATACATCCATGAATTGTGATTAACGCTATCAGCATTACACATCCATGAATTGCGATAACAGTCTGAGTAACACACATCCATGAATTGTGTTAACTGTCTGAGTATCATACATCTATGAATTGTATTAACGGTCTGAGTATCATACATCTATGAATTGTATTAACGGTCTGAAAATCATACATCCATGAATTGTAATTAACGCTCTCAGCATTATACATCCATGAATTGCGATAACGGTCTGAGTAACACACATCCATGAATTGTGTTAACGGCCTGAGAATCATACATCCATGAATTGTAATTAACGCTCTCAGCATTACACATCCATGAATTGTGTTAACTGTCTGAGTATCATACATCTATGAAATGTATTAACGGTCTGAAAATCATACATCCATGAATTGTATTAACGGTCTGAAAATCATACATCCATGAATTGTAATTAACGCTCTCAGCATTATACATCCATGAATTGTAATTAACGCTCTCAGCATTATACATCCATGAATTGTAATTAACGCTCTCAGCATTACACATCCATGAATTGTGCTAACGGTCTGAGTAACACACATCCATGAATTGTGTTAACGGTCTGAGTGTCATACATCTATGAATTGTATTAACGGTCTGAGAATCATACATCCATGAATTGTAATTAACGCTCTCAGCATTATACATCCATCAATTGCGATAACGGTCTGAGTAACACACAACCATGAATTGTGTTAACTGTCTGAGTATCATACATCTATGAATTGTATTAGCGGTCTGAGTATCATACATCTATGAATTGTATTAACTGTCTGAAAATCATACATCCATGAATTGTAATTAACGCTCTCAGCATTATACGTCCATGAATTGTGAGAACGTCTGAGTATCATACATCCATTAATTGTGATTAACGCTATCAGCATTATACATCCATGAATTGCGATAACGGTCTGAGTAACACACATCCATGAATTGTGTTAACTCTCTGAGTATCATGCATCTATGAATTGCATTAACGGTCTGAGTATCATACATCTATGAATTGTATTAACGGTCTGAAAATCATGCATCCATGAATTGTAATTAACGCTCTCAGCATTATACATCCACGAATTGCGATAACGGTCTGAGTATCATACATCTATGAATTGTATTAACGGTCTGAAAATCATACATCCATGAATTGTAATTAACGCTCTCAGCATTATACATCCATGAATTGCGATAACGGTCTGAGTAACACACATCCATGAATTGTGTTAACGATCTGAGTATCATACATCTATGAATTGTGATTAACGCTATCAGCATTATAGATCCATGGATTACGATAACGGTCTGAGCAACACACATCCATGAATTGTGTTAAAGGTCTGAGAATCATACATCCATGAATTGTGTTAACGGTCTGAGAATCATACATACATGAATTGTAATTAACGCTCTCAGCATTATACATCCATGAATTGCGATAGCGGTCTGGGTAACACACATCCATGAATTGCGTTAACGGTCTGAGTAACACACATCCATGAATTGTGTTAACGGTCTGAGAATCATACATCCATGAAATGTGTTAACGGTCTGAGTATCATACATCCATGAATTGTGTTAACGGCCTGAGAATCATACATCCATGAATTGTAAATAACGCTCTCAGCATTACACATCCATGAATTGTGTTAACTGTCTGAGTATCATACATCCATGAATTGTATTAACGGTCTGAAAATCATACATAAATGAACTGTAATTAACGCTCTCAGCATTATACATCCATGAATAGCGATAACGGTCTGAGTAACACACATCCATGAATTGTGTTAACTGTCTGAGTATCATACATCTATGAATTGTATTAACGTCTGAAAATCATACATCCATGAATTGTAATTAACGCTCTCAGCATTATACATCCATGAATTGCAATAACGGTCTGGATAACACACATCCATGAATTGTGTTAACGGTCTGAGTAACACACATCCATGAATTGTGTTAACGGTCTGAGTGTCATACATCTATGAATTGTATTAACGGTCTGAGAATCATACATCCATGAATTGTAATTAACGCTCTCAGCATTATACATCCACGAATTGCGATAACGGTCTGAGTATCATACATCTATGAATTGTATTAACGGTCTGAAAATCATACATCCATGAATTGTAATTAACGCTCTCAGCATTATACATCCATGAATTGCGATAACGGTCTGAGTAACACACATCCATGAATTGTGTTAAAGGTCTGAGAATCATACATCCATGAATTGTGTTAACTGTCTGAGTATCATGCATCTATGAATTGTATTAACGGTCTGAGTATCATACATCTATGAATTGTATTAACGGTCTGAGTATCATACATCCATGAATTGTAATTAACGCTCTCAGCATTATACATCCATGAATTGTGAGAACGTCTGAGTATCATACATCCATTAATTGTGATTAACGCTATCAGCATTATACATCCATGAATTGCGATAACGGTCTGAGTAACACGCATCCATGAATTGTGTTAACTGTCTGAGTATCATGCATCTATGAATTGTATTAACGGTCTGAGTATCATACATCTATGAATTGTATTAACGGTCTGAAAATCATACATCCATGAATTGTAATTAACGCTCTCAGCATTATAATCCATGAAATGTGAGAACGTCTGAGCATCATACATCCATGAATTGTGATTAACGCTATCAGCATTACACATCCATGAATTGCGATAACAGTCTGAGTAACACACATCCATGAATTGTGTTAACTGTCTGAGTATCATACATCTATGAATTGTATTAACGGTCTGAGTATCATACATCTATGAATTGTATTAACGGTCTGAAAATCATACATCCATGAATTGTAATTAACGCTCTCAGCATTATACATCCATGAATTGTGTTAACGGTCTGAGTATCATACATCCATGAATTGTGTTAACGGCCTGAGAATCATACATCCATGAATTGTAAATAACGCTCTCAGCATTACACATCCATGAATTGTGTTAACTGTCTGAGTATCATACATCCATGAATTGTTTTAACGGTCTGAAAATCATACATAAATGAATTGTAATTAACGCTCTCAGCATTATACATCCATGAATTGCGATAACGGTCTGAGTAACACACATCCATGAATTGTGTTAACTGTCTGAGTATCATACATCTATGAATTGTATTAACGGTCTGAGAATCATACATCCATGAATTGTAATTAACGCTCTCAGCATTATACATCCATGAATTGCAATAACGGTCTGGATAACACACATCCATGAATTGTGTTAACGGTCTGAGTAACACACATCCATGAATTGTGTTAACGGTCTGAGTGTCATACATCTATGAATTGTATTAACGGTCTGAGAATCATACATCCATGAATTGTAATTAACGCTCTCAGCATTATACATCCATGAATTGTGAGAACGTCTGAGTATCATACATCCATGAATTGTGTTAACGGCCTGAGAATCATACATCCATGAATTGTAATTAACGCTCTCAGCATTATACATCCATGAATTGTGTTAACTGTCTGAGTATCATACATCCATGAAATGTATTAACGGTCTGAAAATCATACATCCATGAATTGTATTAACGGTCTGAAAATCATACATCCATGAATTGTAATTAACGCTCTCAGCATTATACATCCATGAATTGTAATTAACGCTCTCAGCATTATACATCCATGAATTGTAATTAACGCTCTCAGCATTACACATCCATGAATTGTGCTAACGGTCTGAGTAACACACATCCATGAATTGTGTTAACGGTCTGAGTGTCATACATCTATGAATTGTATTAACGGTCTGAGAATCATACATCCATGAATTGTAATTAACGCTCTCATCATTATACATCCATGAATTGTGAGAACGTCTGAGTATCATACATCCATTAATTGTGATTAACGCTATCAGCATTACACATCCATGAATTGCGATAACATTCTGAGTAACACACATCCATGAATTGTGTTAAAGGTCTGAGAATCATACATCCATGAATTGTATTAACGGTCTGAAAATCATACATCCATGAATTGTAATTAACGCTCTCAGCATTATACATCCATGAATTGCGATAACGGTCTGAGTAACACACAACCATGAATTGTGTTAACTGTCTGAGTATCATACATCTATGAATTGTATTAACGGTCTGAGTATCATACATCTATGAATTGTATTAACGGTCTGAAAATCATACATCCATGAATTGTAATTAACGCTCTCAGCATTATACATCCATGAATTGTGAGAACGTCTGAGTATCATACATCCATTAATTGTGATTAACGCTATCAGCATTATACATCCATGAATTGCGATAACGGTCTGAGTAACACACATCCATGAATTGTGTTAACTCTCTGAGTATCATGCATCTATGAATTGCATTAACGGTCTGAGTATCATACATCTATGAATTGTATTAACGGTCTGAAAATCATACATCCATGAATTGTAATTAACGCTCTCAGCATTATACATCCACGAATTGCGATAACGGTCTGAGTATCATACATCTATGAATTGTATTAACGGTCTGAAAATCATACATCCATGAATTGTAATTAACGCTCTCAGCATTATACATCCATGAATTGCGATAACGGTCTGAGTAACACACATCCATGAATTGTGTTAACGATCTGAGTATCATACATCTATGAATTGTGATTAACGCTATCAGCATTATACATCCATGAATTACGATAACGGTCTGAGCAACACACATCCATGAATTGTGTTAACTCTCTGAGTATCATGCATCTATGAATTGCATTAACGGTCTGAGTATCATACATCTATGAATTGTATTAACGGTCTGAAAATCATACATCCATGAATTGTAATTAACGCTCTCAGCATTATACATCCATGAATTGCGATAACGGTCTGAGTATCATACATCTATGAATTGTATTAACGGTCTGAGAATCATACATACATGAATTGTAATTAACGCTCTCAGCATTATACATCCATGAATTGCGATAACGGTCTGAGTAACACACATCCATGAATTGTGTTAACGGTCTGAGTAACATACATCCATGAATTGCGATAACGGTCTGAGTAACACACATCCATGAATTGTGTTAACGGTCTGAGAATCATACATCCATGAATTGTGTTAACGGTCTGAGTATCATACATCCATGAATTGTGTTAACGGCCTGAGAATCATACATCCATGAATTGTAAATAACGCTCTCAGCATTACACATCCATGAATTGTGTTAACGGTCTGAGTATCATACATCCATGAATTGTATTAACGGTCTGAAAATCATACATCCATGAATTGTAATTAACGCTCTCAGCATTATACATCCATGAATTGCGATAACGGTCTGAGTAACACACATCCATGAATTGTGTTAACTGTCTGAGTATCATACATCTATGAATTGTATTAACGTCTGAAAATCATACATCCATGAATTGTAATTAACGCTCTCAGCATTATACATCCATGAATTGCAATAACGGTCTGGATAACACACATCCATGAATTGTGTTAACGGTCTGAGTAACACACATCCATGAATTGTGTTAACGGTCTGAGTATCATACATCTATGAATTGTATTAACGGTCTGAGTGTCATACATCTATGAATTGTATTAACGGTCTGAGAATCATACATCCATGAATTGTAATTAACGCTCTCAGCATTATACATCCATGAATTGCGATAACGGTCTGAGTATCATACATCTATGAATTGTATTAACGGTCTGAAAATCATACATCCATGAATTGTAATTAACGCTCTCAGCATTATACATCCATGAATTGCGATAACGGTCTGAGTAACACACATCCATGAATTGTGTTAACGGTCTGAGAATCATACATCCATGAATTGTGTTAACTGTCTGAGTATCATGCATCCATGAATTGTATTAACGGTCTGAGTATCATACATCTATGAATTGTATTAACGGTCTGAGTATCATACATCTATGAATTGTATTAACGGTCTGAGAATCATACATCCATGAATTGTAATTAACGCTCTCAGCATTATACATCCATGAATTGCAATAACGGTCTGGATAACACACATCCATGAATTGTGTTAACGGTCTGAGTAACACACATCCATGAATTGTGTTAACGGTCTGAGTATCATACATCTATGAATTGTATTAACGGTCTGAGAATCATACATCCATGAATTGTAATTAACGCTCTCAGCATTATACATCCATGAATTGTGAGAACGTCTGAGTATCATACATCCATTAATTGTGATTAACGCTCTCAGCATTATACATCCATGAATTGCGATAACGGTCTGAGTAACACACATCCATGAATTGTGTTAACTGTCTGAGTATCATACATCTATGAATTGTATTAACGGTCTGAGTATCATACATCTATGAATTGTATTAACGGTCTGAAAATCATACATCCATGAATTGTAATTAACGCTCTCAGCATTATACATCCATGAATTGTGTTAACTGTCTGAGCATCATACATCCATGAATTGTGATTAACGCTATCAGCATTACACATCCATGAATTGCGATAACAGTCTGAGTAACACACATCCATGAATTGTGTTAACTGTCTGAGTATCATACATCTATGAATTGTATTAACGGTCTGAGTATCATACATCTATGAATTGTATTAACGGTCTGAAAATCATACATCCATGAATTGTAATTAACGCTCTCAGCATTATACATCCATGAATTGCGATAACGGTCTGAGTAACACACATCCATGAATTGTGTTAACGGTCTGAGAATCATACATCCATGAATTGTAATTAACGCTCTCAGCATTACACATCCATGAATTGTGTTAACTGTCTGAGTATCATACATCCATGAATTGTATTAACGGTCTGAAAATCATACATCCATGAATTGTATTAACGGTCTGAAAATCATACATCCATGAATTGTAATTAACGCTCTCAGCATTATACATCCATGAATTGTAATTAACGCTCTCAGCATTATACATCCATGAATTGTGAGAACGTCTGAGTATCATACATCCATGAATTGTGATTAACGCTCTCAGCATTATACATCCATGAATTGCGATAACGGTCTGAGTAACACACATCCATGAATTGTGTTAACGGTCTGAGTATCATGCATCTATGAATTGCATTAACGGTCTGAGTATCATACATCTATGAATTGTATTAACGGTCTGAAAATCATACATCCATGAATTGTAATTAACGCTCTCAGCATTATACATCCATGAATTGCGATAACGGTCTGAGTATCATACATCTATGAATTGTATTAACGGTCTGAAAATCATACATCCATGAATTGTAATTAACGCTCTCAGCATTATACATCCATGAATTGCGATAACGGTCTGAGTAACACACATCCATGAATTGTGTTAACGATCTGAGTATCATACATCCATGAATTGTGATTAACGCTATCAGCATTATACATCCATGAATTACGATAACGGTCTGAGCAACACACATCCATGAATTGTGTTAACGGTCTGAGAATCATACATCCATGAATTGTGTTAACGGTCTGAGAATCATACATCCATGAATTGTAATTAACGCTCTCAGCATTATACATCCATGAATTGCGATAACGGTCTGAGTAACACACATCCATGAATTGTGTTAACGGTCTGAGTAACACACATCCATGAATTGTGTTAACTGTCTGAGTATCATACATCTATGAATTGTATTAACGGTCTGAGTATCATACATCCATGAATTGTATTAACGGTCTGAGTATCATACATCCATGAATTGTGAGAACGTCTGAGTATCATACATCCATGAATTGTGATTAATGCTCTCAGCATTATACATCCATGAATTGCGATAACGGTCTGAGTAACACACATCCATGAATTGTGTTAACGGTCTGAGAATCATACATCCATGAATTGTGTTAACGGTCTGAGTATCATACATCCATGAATTGTGTTAACGGTCTGAGAATCATACATCCATGAATTGTAATTAACGCTCTCAGCATTACACATCCATGAATTGTGTTAACTGTCTGAGTATCATACATCCATGAATTGTATTAACGGTCTGAAAATCATACATCCATGAATTGTAATTAACGCTCTCAGCATTATACATCCATGAATTGCGATAACGGTCTGAGTAACACACATCCATGAATTGTGTTAACTGTCTGAGTATCATACATCTATGAATTGTATTAACGTCTGAAAATCATACATCCATGAATTGTAATTAACGCTCTCAGCATTATACATCCATGAATTGCAATAACGGTCTGGATAACACACATCCATGAATTGTGTTAACGGTCTGAGTAACACACATCCATGAATTGTGTTAACGGCTGAGTATCATACATCTATGAATTTTATTAACGGTCTGAGAATCATACATCCATGAATTGTGTTAACGGTCTGAGTATCATACATCTATGAATTGTATTAACGGTCTGAGTATCATACATCTATGAATTGTATTAACGGTCTGAAAATCATACATCCATGAATTGTAATTAACGCTCTCAGCATTATACATCCATGAATTGCGATAACGGTCTGAGTAACACACATCCATGAATTGTGTTAACTGTCTGAGTATCATACATCTATGAATTGTATTAACGGTCTGAGTATCATACATCTATGAATTGTATTAACGGTCTGAAAATCATACATCCATGAATTGTAATTAACGCTCTCAGCATTATACATCCATGAATTGCGATAACGGTCTGAGTAACACACATCCATGAATTGTGTTAACGGTCTGAGAATCATACATCCATGAATTGTAATTAACGCTCTCAGCATTACACATCCATGAATTGTGTTAACTGTCTGAGTATCATACATCCATGAATTGTATTAACGGTCTGAAAATCATACATCCATGAATTGTATTAACGGTCTGAAAATCATACATCCATGAATTGTAATTAACGCTCTCAGCATTATACATCCATGAATTGTAATTAACGCTCTCAGCATTATACATCCATGAATTGTAATTAACGCTCTCAGCATTACACATCCATGAATTGTGCTAACGGTCTGAGTAACACACATCCATGAATTGTGTTAACGGTCTGAGTATCATACATCTATGAATTGTATTAACGGTCTGAGAATCATACATCCATGAATTGTAATTAACGCTCTCAGCATTATACATCCATGAATTGTGAGAACGTCTGAGTATCATACATCCATGAATTGTAATTAACGCTCTCAGCATTATACATCCATGAATTGTAATTAACGCTCTCAGCATTACACATCCATGAATTGTGTTAACGGTCTGAGTAACACACATCCATGAATTGTGTTAACGGTCTGAAAATCATACATCCATGAATTGTATTAACGGTCTGAAAATCATACATCCATGAATTGTAATTAACGCTCTCAGCATTATACATCCATGAATTGTAATTAACGCTCTGAGTATCATACATCCATGAATTGTAATTAACGCTCTCAGCATTATACATCCATGAATTGCGATAACGGTCTGAGTAACACACATCCATGAATTGTGTTAACTGTCTGAGTATCATACATCCATGAATTGTATTAACGGTCTGAGTATCATACATCTATGAATTGTATTAACGGTCTGAAAATCATACATCCATGAATTGTAATTAACGCTCTCAGCATTATACATCCATGAATTGCGATAACGGTCTGAGTAACACACATCCATGAATTGTGTTAACGGTCTGAGTATCATACATCCATGAATTGTGATTAACGCTCTCAGCATTATACATCCATGAATTACGATAACGGTCTGAGTAACATACATCCATGAATTGTGTTAACGGTCTGAGAATCATACATCCATGAATTGTGTTAACGGTCTGAGAATCATACATCCATGAATTGTAATTAACGCTCTCAGCATTATACATCCATGAATTGCGATAACGGTCTGAGTAACACACATCCATGAATTGTGTTAACGGTCTGAGTAACACACATCCATGAATTGTGTTAACTGTCTGAGTATCATACATCTATGAATTGTATTAACGGTCTGAGTATCATACATCCATGAATTGTATTAACGGTCTGAGTATCATACATCCATGAATTGTGAGAACGTCTGAGTATCATACATCCATGAATTGTGATTAACGCTCTCAGCATTATACATCCATGAATTGCGATAACGGTCTGAGTAACACACATCCATGAATTGTGTTAACGGTCTGAGAATCATACATCCATGAATTGTGTTAACGGTCTGAGTATCATACATCCATGAATTGTGTTAACGGTCTGAGAATCATACATCCATGAATTGTAAATAACGCTCTCAGCATTACACATCCATGAATTGTGTTAACTGTCTGAGTATCATACATCCATGAATTGTATTAACGGTCTGAAAATCATACATCCATGAATTGTAATTAACGCTCTCAGCATTATACATCCATGAATTGCGATAACGGTCTGAGTAACACACATCCATGAATTGTGTTAACGGTCTGAGTATCATACATCCATGAATTGTATTAACGGTCTGAAAATCATACATCCATGAATTGTGTTAACTGTCTGAGTATCATACATCCATGAATTGTATTAACGGTCTGAGTATCATACATCTATGAATTGTATTAACGGTCTGAGTATCATACATCCATGAATTGTAATTAACGCTCTCAGCATTATACATCCATGAATTGTGATAACGTCTGAGTATCATACATCCATGAATTGTGATTAACGCTATCAGCATTATACATCCATGAATTGCGATAACGGTCTGAGTAACACACATCCATGAATTGTGTTAACGCTCTGAGTATCATACATCCATGAATTGCATTAACGGTCTGAGTATCATACATCCATGAATTGTATTAACGGTCTGAAAATCATACATCCATGAATTGTATTAACGCTCTCAGCATTATACATCCATGAATTGTGATAACGGTCTGAGTAACACACATCCATGAATTGTGTTAACGGTCTGAGTATCATACATCCATGAATTGTGATTAACGCTCTCAGCATTATACATCCATGAATTACGATAACGGTCTGAGCAACACACATCCATGAATTGTGTTAAAGGTCTGAGAATCATACATCCATGAATTGTGTTAACGGTCTGAGTATCATACATCCATGAATTGTATTAACGGTCTGAGAATCATACATCCATGAATTGTGTTAACGGTCTGAGTATCATACATCCATGAATTGTATTAACGGTCTGAGTATCATACATCTATGAATTGTATTAACGGTCTGAAAATCATACATCCATGAATTGTAATTAACGCTCTCAGCATTATACATCCATGAATTGTGATAACGTCTGAGCATCATACATCCATGAATTGTGATTAACGCTATCAGCATTACACATCCATGAATTGCGACAACGGTCTGAGTAACACACATCCATGAATTGTGTTAACTGTCTGAGTATCATACATCTATGAATTGTATTAACGGTCTGAGTATCATACATCTATGAATTGTATTAACGGTCTGAAAATCATACATCCATGAATTGTAATTAACGCTCTCAGCATTATACATCCATGAATTGCGATAACGGTCTGAGTAACACACATCCATGAATTGTGTTAACGGCCTGAGAATCATACATCCATGAATTGTAATTAACGCTCTCAGCATTACACATCCATGAATTGTGTTAACTGTCTGAGTATCATACATCTATGAATTGTATTAACGGTCTGAAAATCATACATCCATGAATTGTATTAACGGTCTGAAAATCATACATCCATGAATTGTAATTAACGCTCTCAGCATTATACATCCATGAATTGTAATTAACGCTCTCAGCATTATACATCCATGAATTGTAATTAACGCTCTCAGCATTACACATCCATGAATTGTGTTAACGGTCTGAGTAACACACATCCATGAATTGTGTTAACGGTCTGAGTATCATACATCTATGAATTGTATTAACGGTCTGAGAATCATACATCCATGAATTGTAATTAACGCTCTCAGCATTATACATCCATGAATTGTGAGAACGTCTGAGTATCATACATCCATGAATTGTAATTAACGCTCTCAGCATTATACATCCATGAATTGTAATTAACGCTCTCAGCATTACACATCCATGAATTGTGTTAACGGTCTGAGTAACACACATCCATGAATTGTGTTAACGGTCTGAGAGATCATACATCCATGAATTGTATTAACGGTCTGAAAATCATACATCCATGAATTGTAATTAACGCTCTCAGCATTATACATCCATGAATTGTAATTAACGCTCTGAGTATCATACATCCATGAATTGTAATTAACGCTCTCAGCATTATACATCCATGAATTGCGATAACGGTCTGAGTAACACACATCCATGAATTGTGTTAACTGTCTGAGTATCATACATCCATGAATTGTATTAACGGTCTGAGTATCATACATCTATGAATTGTATTAACGGTCTGAAAATCATACATCCATGAATTGTAATTAACGCTCTCAGCATTATACATCCATGAATTGCGATAACGGTCTGAGTACCACACATCCATGAATTGTGTTAACGATCTGAGTATCATACATCCATGAATTGTGATTAACGCTCTCAGCATTATACATCCATGAATTGTGATAACGGTCTGAGTAACACACATCCATGAATTGTGTTAACGGTCTGAGAATCATACATCCATGAATTGTGTTAACGGTCTGAGAATCATACATCCATGAATTGTAATTAACGCTCTCAGCATTATACATCCATGAATTGCGATAACGGTCTGAGTAACACATCCATGAATTGTGTTAACGGTCTGAGTAACATACATCCATGAATTGTGTTAACGGTCTGAGTATCATACATCTATGAATTGTATTAACGGTCTGAGTATCATACATCCATGAATTGTATTAACGGTCTGAGTATCATACATCCATGAATTGTGAGAACGTCTGAGTATCATACATCCATGAATTGTGATTAACGCTCTCAGCATTATACATCCATGAATTGCGATAACGGTCTGAGTAACACACATCCATGAATTGTGTTAACGGTCTGAGAATCATACATCCATGAAATGTGTTAACGGTCTGAGTATCATACATCCATGAATTGTGTTAACGGTCTGAGAATCATACATCCATGAATTGTAAATAACGCTCTCAGCATTATACATCCATGAATTGTGTTAACTGTCTGAGTATCATACATCCATGAATTGTATTAACGGTCTGAAAATCATACATCCATGAATTGTAATTAACGCTCTCAGCATTATACATCCATGAATTGCGATAACGGTCTGAGTAACACACATCCATGAATTGTGTTAACTGTCTGAGTATCATACATCCATGAATTGTATTAACGGTCTGAAAATCATACATCCATGAATTGTAATTAACGCTCTCAGCATTATACATCCATGAATTGCAATAACGGTCTGATAACACACATCCATGAATTGTGTTAACGGTCTGAGTAACATACATCCATGAATTGTGTTAACGGTCTGAGAATCATACATCCATGAATTGTGTTAACTGTCTGAGTATCATACATCCATGAATTGTATTAACGGTCTGAGTATCATACATCCATGAATTGTATTAACGGTCTGAGTATCATACATCCATGAATTGTAATTAACGCTCTCAGCATTATACATCCATGAATTGTGAGAACGTCTGAGTATCATACATCCATGAATTGTGATTAACGCTATCAGCATTATACATCCATGAATTGTGATAACGGTCTGAGTAACACACATCCATGAATTGTGTTAACTGTCTGAGTATCATACATCTATGAATTGTATTAACGGTCTGAGTATCATACATCCATGAATTGTATTAACGGTCTGAAAATCATACATCCATGAATTGTAATTAACGCTCTCAGCATTATACATCCATGAATTGTAATTAACGCTCTCAGCATTACACATCCATGAATTGTGTTAACGGTCTGAGTAACACACATCCATGAATTGTGTTAACGGTCTGAGTGTCATACATCTATGAATTGTATTAACGGTCTGAGAATCATACATCCATGAATTGTAATTAACGCTCTCAGCATTATACATCCATGAATTGTGAGAACGTCTGAGTATCATACATCCATGAATTGTGATTAACGCTATCAGCATTACACATCCATGAATTGCGATAACGGTCTGAGTAACACACATCCATGAATTGTGTTAACGGTCTGAGAATCATACATCCATGAATTGTATTAACGGTCTGAAAATCATACATCCATGAATTGTAATTAACGCTCTCAGCATTATACATCCATGAATTGCGATAACGGTCTGAGTAACACACATCCATGAATTGTGTTAACGGTCTGAGTATCATACATCCATGAATTGTATTAACGGTCTGAGTATCATACATCTATGAATTGTATTAACGGTCTGAAAATCATACATCCATGAATTGTAATTAACGCTCTCAGCATTATACATCCATGAATTGTGAATAACTGTCTGAGTATCATACATCCATGAATTGTGATTAACGCTCTCAGCATTATACATCCATGAATTGTGATAACGGTCTGAGTAACACACATCCATGAATTGTGTTAACGGTCTGAGTATCATACATCCATGAATTGTGATTAACGCTCTCAGCATTATACATCCATGAATTGCGATAACGGTCTGAGTAACACACATCCATGAATTGTGTTAACGGTCTGAGAATCATACATCCATGAATTGTGTTAACGGTCTGAGAATCATACATCCATGAATTGTAATTAACGCTCTCAGCATTATACATCCATGAATTGCGATAACGGTCTGGGTAACACACATCCATGAATTGTGTTAACGGTCTGAGTATCACACATCCATGAATTGTGTTAACTGTCTGAGTATCATACATCTATGAATTGTATTAACGGTCTGAGTATCATACATCCATGAATTGTATTAACGGTCTGAGTATCATACATCCATGAATTGTGAGAACGTCTGAGTATCATACATCCATGAATTGTGATTAACGCTCTCGGCATTATACATCCATGAATTGCGATAACGGTCTGAGTAACACACATCCATGAATTGTGTTAACGGTCTGAGAATCATACATCCATGAATTGTGTTAACGGTCTGAGTATCATACATCCATGAATTGTGTTAACGGTCTGAGAATCATACATCCATGAATTGTAAATAACGCTCTCAGCATTATACATCCATGAATTGTGTTAACTGTCTGAGTATCATACATCCATGAATTGTATTAACGGTCTGAAAATCATACATCCATGAATTGTAATTAACGCTCTCAGCATTATACATCCATGAATTGCGATAACGGTCTGAGTAACACACATCCATGAATTGTGTTAACGGTCTGAGTATCATACATCTATGAATTGTATTAACGGTCTGAAAATCATACATCCATGAATTGTAATTAACGCTCTCAGCATTATACATCCATGAATTGCAATAACGGTCTGAGTAACACACATCCATGAATTGTGTTAACGGTCTGAGTAACACACATCCATGAATTGTGTTAACGGCTGAGTGTCATACATCTATGAATTGTATTAACGGTCTGAGAATCATACATCCATGAATTGTAATTAACGCTCTCAGCATTATACATCCATGAATTGTGAGAACGTCTGAGTATCATACATCCATGAATTGTGATTAACGCTCTCAGCATTATACATCCATGAATTGCGATAACGGTCTGAGTAACACACATCCATGAATTGTGTTAACTGTCTGAGTATCATACATCTATGAATTGTATTAACGGTCTGAGTATCATACATCTATGAATTGTATTAACGGTCTGAAAATCATACATCCATGAATTGTAATTAACGCTCTCAGCATTATACATCCATGAATTGTGTTAACTGTCTGAGTATCATACATCCATGAATTGTATTAACGGTCTGAAAATCATACATCCATGAATTGTATTAACGGTCTGAAAATCATACATCCATGAATTGTAATTAACGCTCTCAGCATTATACATCCATGAATTGTAATTAACGCTCTCAGCATTACACATCCATGAATTGTGTTAACGGTCTGAGTAACACACATCCATGAATTGTGTTAACGGTCTGAGTATCATACATCTATGAATTGTATTAACGGTCTGAGAATCATACATCCATGAATTGTAATTAACGCTCTCAGCATTATACATCCATGAATTGTGATAACGTCTGAGTATCATACATCCATGAATTGTGATTAACGCTATCAGCATTACACATCCATGAATTGCGATAACATTCTGAGTAACACACATCCATGAATTGTGTTAACGGTCTGAGAATCATACATCCATGAATTGTATTAACGGTCTGAAAATCATACATCCATGAATTGTAATTAACGCTCTCAGCATTATACATCCATGAATTGCGATAACGGTCTGAGTAACACACATCCATGAATTGTGTTAACTGTCTGAGTATCATACATCCATGAATTGTATTAACGGTCTGAGTATCATACATCTATGAATTGTATTAACGGTCTGAAAATCATACATCCATGAATTGTAATTAACGCTCTCAGCATTATACATCCATGAATTGTGAGAACGTCTGAGTATCATACATCCATTAATTGTGATTAACGCTATCAGCATTATACATCCATGAATTGCGATAACGGTCTGAGTAACACACATCCATGAATTGTGTTAACTGTCTGAGTATCATACATCCATGAATTGTATTAACGGTCTGAGTATCATACATCCATGAATTGTATTAACGGTCTGAAAATCATACATCCATGAATTGTAATTAACGCTCTCAGCATTATACATCCATGAATTGTGTTAACTGTCTGAGTATCATACATCTATGAATTGTATTAACGGTCTGAAAATCATACATCCATGAATTGTATTAACGGTCTGTAAATCATACATCCATGAATTGTAATTAACGCTCTCAGCATTATACATCCATGAATTGTAATTAACGCTCTCAGCATTACACATCCATGAATTGTGTTAACGGTCTGAGTAACACACATCCATGAATTGTGTTAACGGTCTGAGTATCATACATCTATGAATTGTATTAACGGTCTGAGAATCATACATCCATGAATTGTAATTAACGCTCTCAGCATTATACATCCATGAATTGTGAGAACGTCTGAGTATCATACATCCATGAATTGTGATTAACGCTCTCAGCATTACACATCCATGAATTGCGATAACGGTCTGAGTAACACATCCATGAATTGTGTTAACGGTCTGAGAATCATACATCCATGAATTGTATTAACGGTCTGAAAATCATACATCCATGAATTGTAATTAACGCTCTCAGCATTATACATCCATGAATTGCGATAACGGTCTGAGTAACACACATCCATGAATTGTGTTAACTGTCTGAGTATCATACATCTATGAATTGTATTAACGGTCTGAGTATCATACATCTATGAATTGTATTAACGGTCTGAAAATCATACATCCATGAATTGTAATTAACGCTCTCAGCATTATACATCCATGAATTGTGAGAACGTCTGAGTATCATACATCCATGAATTGTGATTAACGCTCTCAGCATTATACATCCATGAATTGCGATAACGGTCTGAGTAACACATCCATGAATTGTGTTAACGATCTGAGTATCATACATCCATGAATTGTGATTAACGCTCTCAGCATTATACATCCATGAATTGTGATAACGGTCTGAGTAACACACATCCATGAATTGTGTTAACGGTCTGAGAATCATACATCCATGAATTGTGTTAACGGTCTGAGAATCATACATCCATGAATTGTAATTAACGCTCTCAGCATTATACATCCATGAATTGCGATAACGGTCTGGGTAACACACATCCATGAATTGTGTTAACGGTCTGAGTAACACACATCCATGAATTGTGTTAACTGTCTGAGTATCATACATCTATGAATTGTATTAACGGTCTGAGTATCATACATCCATGAATTGTATTAACGGTCTGAGTATCATACATCCATGAATTGTGAGAACGTCTGAGTATCATACATCCATGAATTGTGATTAACGCTCTCGGCATTATACATCCATGAATTGCGATAACGGTCTGAGTAACACACATCCATGAATTGTGTTAACGGTCTGAGAATCATACATCCATGAATTGTGTTAACGGTCTGAGTATCATACATCCATGAATTGTGTTAACGGTCTGAGAATCATACATCCATGAATTGTAAATAACGCTCTCAGCATTACACATCCATGAATTGTGTTAACTGTCTGAGTATCATACATCCATGAATTGTATTAACGGTCTGAAAATCATACATCCATGAATTGTAATTAACGCTCTCAGCATTATACATCCATGAATTGCGATAACGGTCTGAGTAACACACATCCATGAATTGTGTTAACGTCTGAGTATCATACATCATGAATTGTATTAACGTCTGAAAATCATACATCCATGAATTGTAATTAACGCTCTCAGCATTATACATCCATGAATTGCAATAACGGTCTGATAACACACATCCATGAATTGTGTTAACGGTCTGAGTATCACACATCCATGAATTGTGTTAACGGTCTGAGTATCATACATCTATGAATTGTATTAACGGTCTGAGAATCATACATCCATGAATTGTAATTAACGCTCTCAGCATTATACATCCATGAATTGTGAGAACGTCTGAGTATCATACATCCATGAATTGTGATTAACGCTCTCAGCATTATACATCCATGAATTGCGATAACGGTCTGAGTAACACACATCCATGAATTGTGTTAACTGTCTGAGTATCATACATCCATGAATTGTATTAACGGTCTGAGTATCATACATCTATGAATTGTATTAACGGTCTGAAAATCATACATCCATGAATTGTAATTAACGCTCTCAGCATTATACATCCATGAATTGTGTTAACTGTCTGAGTATCATACATCTATGAATTGTATTAACGGTCTGAAAATCATACATCCATGAATTGTATTAACGGTCTGAAAATCATACATCCATGAATTGTAATTAACGCTCTCAGCATTATACATCCATGAATTGTATTAACGCTCTCAGCATTACACATCCATGAATTGTGTTAACGGTCTGAGTAACACACATCCATGAATTGTGTTAACGGTCTGAGTATCATACATCTATGAATTGTATTAACGGTCTGAGAATCATACATCCATGAATTGTAATTAACGCTCTCAGCATTATACATCCATGAATTGTGAGAACGTCTGAGTATCATACATCCATGAATTGTGATTAACGCTATCAGCATTACACATCCATGAATTGCGATAACGGTCTGAGTAACACACATCCATGAATTGTGTTAACGGTCTGAGAATCATACATCCATGAATTGTATTAACGGTCTGAAAATCATACATCCATGAATTGTAATTAACGCTCTCAGCATTATACATCCATGAATTGCGATAACGGTCTGAGTAACACACATCCATGAATTGTGTTAACTGTCTGAGTATCATACATCTATGAATTGTATTAACGGTCTGAGTATCATACATCTATGAATTGTATTAACGGTCTGAAAATCATACATCCATGAATTGTAATTAACGCTCTCAGCATTATACATCCATGAATTGTGAGAACGTCTGAGTATCATACATCCATTAATTGTGATTAACGCTATCAGCATTATACATCCATGAATTGCGATAACGGTCTGAGTAACACACATCCATGAATTGTGTTAACTCTCTGAGTATCATACATCTATGAATTGTATTAACGGTCTGAGTATCATACATCTATGAATTGTATTAACGGTCTGAAAATCATACATCCATGAATTGTAATTAACGCTCTCAGCATTATACATCCATGAATTGCGATAACGGTCTGAGTATCATACATCCATGAATTGTATTAACGGTCTGAAAATCATACATCCATGAATTGTAATTAACGCTCTCAGCATTATACATCCATGAATTGTGATAACGGTCTGAGTAACACATCCATGAATTGTGTTAACGGTCTGAGTAACACACATCCATGAATTGTGTTAACGGTCTGAGTATCATACATCCATGAATTGTATTAACGGTCTGAGTATCATACATCTATGAATTGTATTAACGGTCTGAAAATCATACATCCATGAATTGTAATTAACGCTCTCAGCATTATAATCCATGAAATGTGAGAACGTCTGAGCATCATACATCCATGAATTGTGATTAACGCTATCAGCATTATACATCCATGAATTGCGATAACGGTCTGAGTAACACACATCCATGAATTGTGTTAACTGTCTGAGTATCATACATCTATGAATTGTATTAACGGTCTGAGTATCATACATCTATGAATTGTATTAACGGTCTGAAAATCATACATCCATGAATTGTAATTAACGCTCTCAGCATTATACATCCATGAATTGTGTTAACTGTCTGAGTATCATACATCTATGAATTGTATTAACGGTCTGAAAATCATACATCCATGAATTGTATTAACGGTCTGAAAATCATACATCCATGAATTGTAATTAACGCTCTCAGCATTATACATCCATGAATTGCGATAACGGTCTGAGTAACACACATCCATGAATTGTGTTAACTGTCTGAGTATCATACATCTATGAATTGTATTAACGGTCTGAGTATCATACATCTATGAATTGTATTAACGGTCTGAAAATCATACATCCATGAATTGTAATTAACGCTCTCAGCATTATACATCCATGAATTGTGAGAACGTCTGAGTATCATACATCCATTAATTGTGATTAACGCTCTCAGCATCATACATCCATGAATTGCGATAACGGTCTGAGTAACACACATCCATGAATTGTGTTAACTGTCTGAGTATCATACATCTATGAATTGTATTAACGGTCTGAGTATCATACATCTATGAATTGTATTAACGGTCTGAAAATCATACATCCATGAATTGTAATTAACGCTCTCAGCATTATACATCCATGAATTGCGATAACGGTCTGAGTATCATACATCTATGAATTGTATTAACGGTCTGAAAATCATACATCCATGAATTGTAATTAACGCTCTCAGCATTATACATCCATGAATTGCGATAACGGTCTGAGTAACACACATCCATGAATTGTGTTAACGGTCTGAGTATCATACATCTATGAATTGTATTAACGGTCTGAAAATCATACATCCATGAATTGTAATTAACGCTCTCAGCATTATACATCCATGAATTGTAATAACGGTCTGATAACACACATCCATGAATTGTGTTAACGGTCTGAGTCACATACATCCATGAATTGTGTTAACGGCTGAGTATCATACATCCATGAATTGTATTAACGGTCTGAAAATCATACATCCATGAATTGTATTAACGGTCTGAAAATCATACATCCATGAATTGTAATTAACGCTCTCAGCATTATACATCCATGAATTGTAATTAACGCTCTCAGCATTACACATCCATGAATTGTGTTAACGGTCTGAGTAACACACATCCATGAATTGTGTTAACGGTCTGAGTATCATACATCTATGAATTGTATTAACGGTCTGAGAATCATACATCCATGAATTGTAATTAACGCTCTCAGCATTATACATCCATGAATTGTGAGAACGTCTGAGTATCATACATCCATGAATTGTGATTAACGCTCTCAGCATTACACATCCATGAATTGCGATAACATTCTGAGTAACACACATCCATGAATTGTGTTAACGGTCTGAGAATCATACATCCATGAATTGTATTAACGGTCTGAAAATCATACATCCATGAATTGTATTAACGCTCTCAGCATTATACATCCATGAATTGCGATAACGGTCTGAGTAACACACATCCATGAATTGTGTTAACTGTCTGAGTATCATACATCTATGAATTGTATTAACGGTCTGAGTATCATACATCCATGAATTGTATTAACGGTCTGAAAATCATACATCCATGAATTGTAATTAACGCTCTCAGCATTATACATCCATGAATTGTGATTAACTGTCTGAGTATCATACATCCATGAATTGTGATTAACGCTATCAGCATTATACATCCATGAATTGCGATAACGGTCTGAGTAACACACATCCATGAATTGTGTTAACGGTCTGAGTATCATACATCCATGAATTGTATTAACGGTCTGAGTATCATACATCCATGAATTGTATTAACGGTCTGAAAATCATACATCCATGAATTGTAATTAACGCTCTCAGCATTATACATCCATGAATTGCGATAACGGTCTGAGTATCATACATCTATGAATTGTATTAACGGTCTGAAAATCATACATCCATGAATTGTAATTAACGCTCTCAGCATTATACATCCATGAATTGTGATAACGGTCTGAGTAACACACATCCATGAATTGTGTTAACGGTCTGAGTAACACACATCCATGAATTGTGTTAACTGTCTGAGTATCATACATCCATGAATTGTATTAACGGTCTGAGTATCATACATCCATGAATTGTATTAACGGTCTGAAAATCATACATCCATGAATTGTAATTAACGCTCTCAGCATTATACATCCATGAATTGTGAGAACGTCTGAGTATCATACATCCATGAATTGTGATTAACGCTATCAGCATTATACATCCATGAATTGCGATAACGGTCTGAGTAACACACATCCATGAATTGTGTTAACTGTCTGAGTATCATACATCCATGAATTGTATTAACGGTCTGAGTATCATACATCCATGAATTGTATTAACGGTCTGAAAATCATACATCCATGAATTGTAATTAACGCTCTCAGCATTATACATCCATGAATTGTGTTAACTGTCTGAGTATCATACATCCATGAATTGTATTAACGGTCTGAAAATCATACATCCATGAATTGTATTAACGGTCTGAAAATCATACATCCATGAATTGTAATTAACGCTCTCAGCATTATACATCCATGAATTGCGATAACGGTCTGAGTAACACACATCCATGAATTGTGTTAACTGTCTGAGTATCATACATCCATGAATTGTATTAACGGTCTGAGTATCATACATCCATGAATTGTATTAACGGTCTGAAAATCATACATCCATGAATTGTAATTAACGCTCTCAGCATTATACATCCATGAATTGTGAGAACGTCTAGTATCATACATCCATGAATTGTGATTAACGCTATCAGCATCATACATCCATGAATTGCGATAACGGTCTGAGTAACACACATCCATGAATTGTGTTAACTTCTGAGTATCATACATCTATGAATTGTATTAACGGTCTGAGTATCATACATCTATGAATTGTATTAACGGTCTGAAAATCATACATCCATGAATTGTAATTAACGCTCTCAGCATTATACATCCATGAATTGCGATAACGGTCTGAGTATCATACATCCATGAATTGTATTAACGGTCTGAAAATCATACATCCATGAATTGTAATTAACGCTCTCAGCATTATACATCCATGAATTGCGATAACGGTCTGAGTAACACACATCCATGAATTGTGTTAACGGTCTGAGTATCATACATCTATGAATTGTATTAACGTCTGAAAATCATACATCCATGAATTGTAATTAACGCTCTCAGCATTATACATCCATGAATTGCAATAACGGTCTGAGTAACACACATCCATGAATTGTGTTAACGGTCTGAGTCACACACATCCATGAATTGTGTTAACGGTCTGAGTATCATACATCCATGAATTGTATTAACGGTCTGAGAATCATACATCCATGAATTGTAATTAACGCTCTCAGCATTATACATCCATGAATTGTGAGAACGTCTGAGTATCATACATCCATTAATTGTGATTAACGCTCTCAGCATTATACATCCATGAATTGCGATAACGGTCTGAGTAACACACATCCATGAATTGTGTTAACTGTCTGAGTATCATGCATCTATGAATTGTATTAACGGTCTGAGTATCATACATCTATGAATTGTATTAACGGTCTGAAAATCATACATCCATGAATTGTAATTAACGCTCTCAGCATTATACATCCATGAATTGTGTTAACTGTCTGAGTATCATACATCCATGAATTGTATTAACGGTCTGAAAATCATACATCCATGAATTGTATTAACGGTCTGAAAATCATACATCCATGAATTGTATTAACGCTCTGAGCATTATACATCCATGAATTGTAATTAACGCTCTCAGCATTATACATCCATGAATTGTAATAACGGTCTGGATAACACACATCCATGAATTGTGTTAACGGTCTGAGTCACACACATCCATGAATTGTGTTAACGGCTGAGTATCATACATCCATGAATTGTATTAACGGTCTGAAAATCATACATCCATGAATTGTATTAACGGTCTGAAAATCATACATCCATGAATTGTAATTAACGCTCTCAGCATTATACATCCATGAATTGTAATTAACGCTCTCAGCATTATACATCCATGAATTGTGTTAACGGTCTGAGTAACACACATCCATGAATTGTGTTAACGGTCTGAGTATCATACATCTATGAATTGTATTAACGGTCTGAGAATCATACATCCATGAATTGTAATTAACGCTCTCAGCATTATACATCCATGAATTGTGAGAACGTCTGAGTATCATACATCCATGAATTGTGATTAACGCTATCAGCATTATACATCCATGAATTGCGATAACATTCTGAGTAACACACATCCATGAATTGTGTTAACGGTCTGAGAATCATACATCCATGAATTGTATTAACGGTCTGAAAATCATACATCCATGAATTGTAATTAACGCTCTCAGCATTATACATCCATGAATTGCGATAACGGTCTGAGTAACACACATCCATGAATTGTGTTAACTGTCTGAGTATCATACATCTATGAATTGTATTAACGGTCTGAGTATCATACATCCATGAATTGTATTAACGGTCTGAAAATCATACATCCATGAATTGTAATTAACGCTCTCAGCATTATACATCCATGAATTGTGAGAACGTCTGAGTATCATACATCCATTAATTGTGATTAACGCTATCAGCATTATACATCCATGAATTGCGATAACGGTCTGAGTAACACACATCCATGAATTGTGTTAACTCTCTGAGTATCATGCATCTATGAATTGTATTAACGGTCTGAGTATCATACATCTATGAATTGTATTAACGGTCTGAAAATCATACATCCATGAATTGTAATTAACGCTCTCAGCATTATACATCCATGAATTGCGATAACGGTCTGAGTATCATACATCCATGAATTGTATTAACGGTCTGAAAATCATACATCCATGAATTGTATTAACGCTCTCAGCATTATACATCCATGAATTGCGATAACGGTCTGAGTAACACACATCCATGAATTGTGTTAACGGTCTGAGTAACACACATCCATGAATTGTGTTAACTGTCTGAGTATCATACATCTATGAATTGTATTAACGGTCTGAGTATCATACATCTATGAATTGTATTAACGGTCTGAAAATCATACATCCATGAATTGTAATTAACGCTCTCAGCATTATAATCCATGAAATGTGAGAACGTCTGAGCATCATACATCCATGAATTGTGATTAACGCTATCAGCATTACACATCCATGAATTGCGATAACAGTCTGAGTAACACACATCCATGAATTGTGTTAACTGTCTGAGTATCATACATCTATGAATTGTATTAACGGTCTGAGTATCATACATCTATGAATTGTATTAACGGTCTGAAAATCATACATCCATGAATTGTAATTAACGCTCTCAGCATTATACATCCATGAATTGTGTTAACTGTCTGAGTATCATACATCTATGAATTGTATTAACGGTCTGAAAATCATACATCCATGAATTGTATTAACGGTCTGAAAATCATACATCCATGAATTGTAATTAACGCTCTCAGCATTATACATCCATGAATTGCGATAACGGTCTGAGTAACACACAACCATGAATTGTGTTAACTGTCTGAGTATCATACATCTATGAATTGTATTAACGGTCTGAGTATCATACATCTATGAATTGTATTAACGGTCTGAAAATCATACATCCATGAATTGTAATTAACGCTCTCAGCATTATACATCCATGAATTGTGAGAACGTCTGAGTATCATACATCCATTAATTGTGATTAACGCTATCAGCATCATACATCCATGAATTGCGATAACGGTCTGAGTAACACACATCCATGAATTGTGTTAACTCGCTGAGTATCATGCATCTATGAATTGTATTAACGGTCTGAGTATCATACATCTATGAATTGTATTAACGGTCTGAAAATCATACATCCATGAATTGTAATTAACGCTCTCAGCATTATACATCCATGAATTGCGATAACGGTCTGAGTATCATACATCTATGAATTGTATTAACGGTCTGAAAATCATACATCCATGAATTGTAATTAACGCTCTCAGCATTATACATCCATGAATAGCGATAACGGTCTGAGTAACACACATCCATGAATTGTGTTAACTGTCTGAGTATCATACATCTATGAATTGTATTAACGTCTGAAAATCATACATCCATGAATTGTAATTAACGCTCTCAGCATTATACATCCATGAATTGCAATAACGGTCTGGATAACACACATCCATGAATTGTGTTAACGGTCTGAGTAACACACATCCATGAATTGTGTTAACGGCTGAGTGTCATACATCTATGAATTTTATTAACGGTCTGAGAATCATACATCCATGAATTGTAATTAACGCTCTCAGCATTATACATCCATGAATTGTGAGAACGTCTGAGTATCATACATCCATTAATTGTGATTAACGCTATCAGCATTATACATCCATGAATTGCGATAACGGTCTGAGTAACACACATCCATGAATTGTGTTAACTGTCTGAGTATCATGCATCTATGAATTGTATTAACGGTCTGAGTATCATACATCTATGAATTGTATTAACGGTCTGAAAATCATACATCCATGAATTGTAATTAACGCTCTCAGCATTATACATCCATGAATTGTGTTAACTGTCTGAGTATCATACATCTATGAATTGTATTAACGGTCTGAAAATCATACATCCATGAATTGTATTAACGGTCTGAAAATCATACATCCATGAATTGTAATTAACGCTCTCAGCATTATACATCCATGAATTGTAATTAACGCTCTCAGCATTACACATCCATGAATTGTGTTAACGGTCTGAGTAACACACATCCATGAATTGTGTTAACGGTCTGAGTGTCATACATCTATGAATTGTATTAACGGTCTGAGAATCATACATCCATGAATTGTAATTAACGCTCTCAGCATTATACATCCATGAATTGTGAGAACGTCTGAGTATCATACATCCATTAATTGTGATTAACGCTATCAGCATTACACATCCATGAATTGCGATAACATTCTGAGTAACATACATCCATGTATTGTGTTAAAGGTCTGAGAATCATACATCCATGAATTGTATTAACGGTCTGAAAATCATACATCCATGAATTGTATTAACGCTCTCAGCATTATACATCCATGAATTGCGATAACGGTCTGAGTAACACACATCCATGAATTGTGTTAACTGTCTGAGTATCATACATCTATGAATTGTATTAACGGTCTGAGTATCATACATCTATGAATTGTATTAACGGTCTGAAAATCATACATCCATGAATTGTAATTAACGCTCTCAGCATTATACATCCATGAATTGTGAGAACGTCTGAGTATCATACATCCATTAATTGTGATTAACGCTATCAGCATTATACATCCATGAATTGCGATAACGGTCTGAGTAACACACATCCATGAATTGTCGCGGATTTTAATATCGCGATCTAAAAATATGAGTTGCAAATTGTAGTAAAGATATCTACGTAATTTCCGCAAATAATGCTTATACTTCGGACTCTTTGTTTCCAAATTTATGCTTCTACATATTGAAACAATTTACATCGTTCTTTGTTAGCAATCCTTACAATCATGAGGATATCTACATTGTTCTTTGTTAGCTATCATAATCATGCGGTTATCTAATAAGCTCTTTATTAGCAACTGGTGCCCATGCAAGCACCTCCTCTCCTTTGTTTGGATCATTGTCTAACATCAATGTAGATTTTATAACCATACTTTTGTCAATTAGATCAGTTTTAAAATCATCCAATCCTCCGAATCAGTTTATTCAATTGTTGCCCAAATATTTAGCTGGCATCCAACACATCTCCCTGACATCAAA